ATGCACATCTATATGTATACTTTACCCATCCGCCAACCAGCTTAATCAGCTTGTTCATGGTGATGGATGGTCGAACACGAAAGCGAAAAGAATAAGAAAAAAAGAGGAAAAGAAGTGGGTCGAAGTTACGAAGGGATTGAGATAGATTATAGAATAGAAAGAGTCATCGAATGGCCAGTTGGCCGAGCGGTCTATGGCGTAGCACTCAAGTGAAAACTTGGACTGTTGAAGTCTTGCTATATCGAAAGATGCGAGGGTTCGAATCCCTCACTGGTCAAATATTTTTTCTTTTTTCTTTTCTTTTTTCTTTTCCTTTCTCTTTTCCTTTCTCTTTTCTTTATTTTCTCTTTTTCTTTATCAATTGCTCATTCAATTATTTTATTTATTTCCTTGCTCAAAATGAAATTCTCTTTCTCCTATCCTATCCTATCCTATTCCATTCATTGCAAGCAAGCAATCTATATGTCCGTAAAAGAAAACCAAAAGTCATCAATTTATTTCTCAAATGCTACGGATGTATTTTATACTTCCTCAATAAATACTAAAAAACTTATTGCTCTAACTGTTTATTCGTATTGATAAAACAAGAATTGATACTAACCTGAGTTTAATTGACGTGAAGCTAAATCACCCTCTAATATTATTTCGTTTAGATATTACTTTTTGGATAAAAGCCTGCGTTAATCGAGCCAATGATAATTGTTGTTGAGACATCTTTGCTAAGTCGATAGACTTGCTCACTAATCGGGTATTCACCTTGAGTAATTTCAAATATAAGTTCAATGAGCTTCAGATTTTTAAACTTCAACGTAATTTTTAAGTACTTCTATTCTATATGACTGTTTGATTTTCCCAAGTCAACTTCATGACCAGTTGTAAGCCCGACACAGAACCATGTTTGAGCTGTCTACTGGTCGAAGAAGGTTAGAAATTTAAAGCAACCAGGGATATCTGTTGTGAAATAGATGGAATTCTATAGTTATCAAACTGTAATATTGATCAGGCGATCCCGAACGGCAATGTTTCAAATCAACGATTGCCTTTCCTAAGTCGAAATGTCATTGTAAACTTACCATACTACTGGCGACAAACTAAAATGCTTTACCCTATCTAAAATTCGCCTCGCGTTTCCCGTTGAATGGTTTACGGTCTCATGCTTAGCATATTCGGTTATTGTATGCTAGAAAGAGCCAACATCAAAATAACAAAGATGAATATAGTAAACGGCTGTAGAGCGCCTCTTTTAAAACTATGGTACCAATCGCAAAATATATTGAGTATTCGTAAGCGAAAATTACTGAACTCTGCGATATTGTTCAATTGAAGAGACGATACAAATTTAACGGTATAACACCAAAAATCCTTTTTGGTATGTTTTTGGTATGTACTTAAATCTGTAATAAAAGTTCCAGTTGCTTCAACGTTTTCAGCAACCGTGATAAAGTGCAGCTTCAGTTAAACAATTCCAAACCATGTTTTCGTATAAAAAGTCACAATCCAGTAATTTAGCAACTGTCAATTATGAATTTTGAACTTGCAAATTCTCAAATAGAATAATTTAGTTTCTGTACCTATACATAAAACCTCATACATGACTACATCCTCTGAAAAAGCTATTCGGTGTATACTCAGTGATAAAATGAAAGACGTAGTCATCCAGGATTAGGTTGTTCGAGACGAGATCTTGAAGCATCTTTAACAAGTCTACAATTTCAACCCTTGTTTATGACGTAAGTTGTGGTGGAAACCAACTGATGTTTTATGAAGATAGGAGGGATAGATGAAATCCTTTTAGATCCTTCCTTCTAAATTCGCTATTCTGGTATACCATAATGTCGTATGTATGATAAACAAATGGCCATGTGCTCTAAACATCCGAATTGCTATTCCCTTATTAACATATGGGTTAGTACCTTGTTATCCAAAAGTAAATTAGCATTTGAGTATGTTTGGTAATGTAGTCTGATGGGAACGTTAGTTGTTTTGGAAACAGCAGTTTAAACTCATATTCATAAAGTACGGTATAAATTTACTCTCTATTTTTTAACTCTATAATAGCTTAAGAAAAGATTTAGTGATGTTGTATAGTTTTGAGTATCTTTATCGCCAATACTCTCTCATTATATCGTTAAGTCATAGAGAAAACAATCGGTCAGATTCTGTTGATCCTATAGCGAGATAGCGAGAAAACAAATTGACGAAAATATAAAATTGGGAAGTCTTTGTCGATGTCATTTAGCTTGCTCCCCTTTGTTCGACTAAAAGAAACATTGTAGACTGCCTTGACTATTGCGTAACCAACCACATACGAATTTATGTGCTCTAAAATTTACTTTACTTGCTTTCACGGTGCACTAATGGCGCTCAATTAATTTTAAAATCACGAAACATTCTGATTTACAAGATGATTTCGTTTGTCATAGAACAAAACAGGTCATGCTTCGGCAAATTGCTTCGCGCTAGATACTACTTGAGACAGCTACGTCCGCTTCCTCAACGTAATTGTGTTCGGTCAGACTAACGCTTAATACCGCAACTTGTTTTTGATTGGACTATATTCCTTTCCGGGGAACCTGTGTAGCGCAGTGTGTTGCACGCTAGTATGGTCTACCAACGATGTTGCGTATTCGGTTGGTATTCGCTCTCCTCCTATCTCTCTATTCATGCCAGTCA